ATTTTTTTTTTTATTTAATTCATATTATTTTATTTTAAGCTGAGAAAACTACCAATTTTTCGTTCGACATGATTATGGTGAATTTTCTTTTGCGGTGAGGTCTAATACCAGTTTTCAGCTGAATATTATTACAGTGCATTAAAATAACACACAAATGTAAAACGTAGAGAAAAATTAAAATGCAAGATAGCTAACACATCTTGCCTACTAGTGTAAAATATAGATTTAGACATCTTGAAAATAAGTGGTGTTTTTAAGTTTAGAATATTCCATTTAATTCTTGTAAGTAATCATTAAAAAAGTGAATGCGAAATAGAAAACATATAATACGAGGAACATCTGTCTTGAAACACTGCCTATTCAATCCACAAAACATTAAATTACAAATGCAAAAATAGTCTTTTTTTTTCTTGAAAATTTTCTCTTATTTCTTTTTTTTAAGTGAGTTCAATATTTTTAAAACTTCCTGGTTCGAATTGAAATTAAAGGGCCGAATAATTTAATTTTTCTAGTTTTGTACATTTCTGTCAAAAACTAGATTTGAATTTTAAATAAATATAATAAAATAAAAAGTCTGTAAGGGTTCGGTTTTATCAACATGTATATATAACAAAACAAAAAAATACTACTCAAATAACTGGTTCTAATGATCAGATTTTTACGTATTAAGTACCAATTAGTATTCAGAACTATAATTTTAGTTAACTATACGAACGCTTGCGTTATTTCTATTGAGTTAATGATACATAAAATCTGCCTTTCATTGTATGAATAACCCCAAGAAATTGAGGTGGAAAGACATACTTGATAAAGTAAAACTTCATTTGCTTTAAAAACATATGAAGATGGCAAAAAAAGTAGACATGTTTTGAGCGTTTAAAAATAGATATATGCTTTGCATATTTTTGATTGTCCAAAATATGCTTTTATTACCATGTCACATTTTTTGAAGCAAATAAAGTTTTATATTATCAAGTATACCTTCATTGGTATTAATTTTTACAAAGTGTAAAGATTGTAGCAGTGGTGCTCAGGGGATAGAGGTCTCACGAACCAATGAGGTGCCTCGGGTTCGAGTTCTAACAATAGCACGTATTCCACACCAGGCTGAAGTAAAATATCCTCAGTAGTAGACGGAGCATCGGTTACAGTGCCCTTGCCATCAGGCTAACCGTGGGTGGATTTCGTAGTCTTCCTCTCCATGTAACGCAAATGTGGGTTAGTTCCATCAAAAAGTCTTCCACGAAGACAAATTTCTCCCATTATTTGATCCAAGAGTTCCCTTGTCTTCTGAATTGTGTTCAAAATTACAAGGTTACGGAGTGGATCATTGGAAGACATAAACTCAAAATTGCGTCTGCTATTCAACGACGGTTATAAAAAGTGTATAAATTAATTTCTCTTTAAAAGATTCACTTAAAAAAAAAAATTCTGTTGCTCAAACTGTAAAAAAATATTTTGAGATACCAACTTTAAGCCATTTTATGGTTTTCTAGTGCACAGTTGTTACAAATATGTTAAATATAAACGTATTTTTATTCAAGTGGAAGCAAAGTTGATTTTACTGTTCATTCTGCTCTAAAATTTCAAGCGATATAACGTGAATATGATTCACAAAATAATGCAAATAATTACCCTCATTATAATATCAATATTTTATTTCGACTTATATGATTATGCCGTGTAAAGTTCTCAGCCTAAAACTATATAATGGATCCACAGTTCATGAAACAGTGTTCAATAAAATACAGCAAAACTTAATTTGCAGATTGTTAGACTATTTATGACATCACAGAATGGTGTAGCTAGAATAATGAGGACACAGAAAATCTTAGAAGAGCCACTTCAACTCAATTATCCTATTCGTCTCGACAGCATATTATCAGTTTTGTATTTCTTACATCTCCAGATAAGCAAATGTAGCAAATTGTAGGAAAGACAGCACAAGTAAAAGTATAGAGAGGAAATATTATGCTGATTTCGGCTATAAATCTTATCTATGAGCAAAATGGCTACACTTAAAATAAAACTAGTATTCTGAATGCCATCGAGATTGAGTGCCTCCAGCGAGACTAGTTTACTTTTTTTAACCCAACTTTGTCTCTTCTAAATGTTACTCTACTGTTAGAGATTATTACTGGAATAAAAAAGATATTAATGTCATAAATCTATGTCATAATTATTAAAATTTTATTTCATGCTCGTTCTTCTTATGAGATAAGTAAAAAAAAAGAAAAAATCAATTGACCCTGCACGGAAAACACTACGAAGTTATGCACAAAACTGAAAACTCAATTATGGCCACAACTGAAGAGCGGAATGGTGGAAAAACCAGATAAATGATATTTTTAGAAGAAGTAATGAGTCAAAGAAAATAAGCTTCAGAGGTTGAATTAGTATGGGTAGGTTTAATGCCACAAACTTGTTTTCGCTTTCACTTTAATCTTAACTAATCCACATTAGTTTTTAATATGCTTGCATTTTTTTTTTCAAATTAGACAGTGGTAAACAAAATAAGACAAAGAATTATAAGTCCCGCCTTCTAATTAATTTGTAATAAAATAGTTCAAAGACTACTTTTTTTTTCTTACCCTGATTAAAGCCTCCCTGAAAGTACCACTTACCTGGTTTTTTTCACAAAGCTTTTCAATTAATAAAGCTAAAATAATTTCCTTCGTTTTATTTATTATTATATGTGGTCCTTCCAAGTGACTTTACGTTATTATATTAAGCAAAACACGTTTTCGTAGTTCATCCCAACAGAATAGAGATTAACTGTATTTAGCATCACTTGTATATTACATTTTCAAGAGATTACTGCGATATTGTAGAAGTTCTCAATCTATATTTAGCATGGAGAACCATTAAATCCCAAAGAAGCTATTAAATCCAGCAAACCCCAGTAAGTATGAGCTTGGGACATTTTAGCATTGTAGGCAGCTATTTCCAACTTTGTCGGGAGATAAGATGAAAAACTCATTCCAATGCCTCATTAAACTTTCTGTACTACTTCCAAACGCTCCTCTAGAACCACAACTTGAGCATCGTATAATACAATCGTATTTGCTATTTTATAATCGCCGTTGAATAGCCAACATAATTTTGGGTTTAAGACAACCAATGTTCAACTCCATAACCTTGTCATTTTGAACCCTATCCAGAAGGCTAGGGAACTCCTGGATCAAATATTGGGAGAAATTTGCCTTCGTGGAGGACTTTGGGATGGAAATAACCAGCATTTGCGTTAAAGGAAGACAACGAAAACCTCCCACCGTTACCCTGATGACAAGGGGACTCTAACCCTTGATTCGTCTACCACTGATTATATTTTACATCAGCGCTGTGGTAGGTGCGAGCCAACACCTCCTAGAAAGAACAGGCCTCAGCACGGGTTACCATAAATATCTCTTAGTAGTCCAAACGTAATGACATATTTTGTATATTCAACCACTGCGCAGCTCAGTACCCCTAACGTGATGACATCTTTCTTATTTTTCGTCTACTGCGCAGTTAACTTCGTCACATCGGACTACTAATTTGATCCGTGCTGAGGCCTTTCTACTTCTAGGAGGTGTTGTGCGAGCAGAGTGCGGAATTCGTATCGACTAGCCATCGCTGGAATTTGGACCTGGTTCACCTCGTTGGGAGATCAGTGGTCTATCCCCTGAGTCACCACTGCTATTGTTCGCGAAAGACTAGCTCCTTCACTAATAATTGATATAAAGAATGCGGCACCATAGCACCGTTTANCCGAAGGGGTGACACAATGCGCCAAGTGCGCCTGAACGATCGCCAAACAGTTGCCAAACATTACACACCGTTTATGTTAAAAAAATTTCTACAGCCATTTTAGAAAGGATCAAAAATTTTGCTTTACACCATTAGAAAATTTTGAAGCTTGTTGAACTAGTGTTTCGTTGAATCTGTTGCAACCTTAATATGGTTCCGAAGGTGAACCATATTATTGTATTTTTTAAACTTGATTGCACGAATTTATGGATAAATTTCATTGGTACAAATTATTAAGTTTATAAATACTAGATATCAAGTGAAATTCTACGATACTTTACAGTTCTCTCGTACATTTAAAAAATCTTTAAATAGCTTTCAATTTTAAAAAAAATATTGAAAAAGATTTACTTAAAAGTAATGTAACATGTCCAATATTTTATATCCTTAAAACTAAAGATTACGAGCTCTTGTGTATCATCTTTTTAAAAAAAAATACTCAGATAACCATTTTGAAATGTATTTAATCTTTCTTTTTTTCTTTTTTTTTAACTTTTTAGCATTATAAACCAATGTGAATGACAATATCTTTAGAGAAAAATGCATGATATCGTGATTGGACAACAACAATTCAATAGCTACATGGACTAACTATGCGTATTTCAGTGTTTACGTCAGAAAATACTGGAATGCGCAAAGTTCGTCTAGACTCTCAGAAATGAAACTCTCACTTTTGACGATTCCGCAATCCGTGACCAGTATTTCGTTTATTTTGAGAATGATTTTGTCGCGAAATCACGTGACATGTGACATAACGCAAACTCTCAAATGTATGACGAAAATATTTCCTCAACTCGGAACCACATCGGAGAGCATTATGGAAGATTGTTAACTAGATTGACGAAACTAGAATGAAGACTAAAAGATCAAAAGTAAAGTGACGAGTTGATCTGACTGTATGGTGGTCAAGGAGTTGACCTCGAGTACATTAGAACCACGAGTTTCTTCTTATTTTATTTATTGTAAAAGTCGAATGACTAAATATTTCTTATTAATTATTAAATTTTAACGAAAATTTAATAATTAATAAGATTTATTAAATTTTAATGATAGTCTTTTTCTCGGGGAAGGGACCATAGTTATTCGTCACTGTGACGAAATATTTGCTCGGAGCATATTCCAGGATCGTCAAAAAACGGAGAAAATATCGTGATATTAGAGTATCCATTTTTTACAGTGTACGCTCTTTTCTGAAGAAATTTTTCTTACAGGGTGATGACAACGGCGGCTGCTTTTACTGCAAGCATCATCTGTAGTAAGATACCAGGTCTGACACCGGCCCAGCAAAGATTGTGCCAAGAGAGACCTGATTTGATAGTGGCTGTGGGAGACGGTGCCCGAATGGGTATAAACGAGTGTCAAAAACAGTTCCGTCACAGAAGGTGGAATTGCACAGCAATCGGAAGTTCCTATGTCTTTGGACACGTTGTAGTCATTGGTAAGCTTTTCCCTCCTTTCATTTCTATCCTTGCACTTAAGAGACTTTTAATCCTCGTAACCTTGGATTTTTTGTTAAGTTTTTAATTAGCGTTTTCTTGATATTTTTGAGCAACTTTTAATTAACTAGTGTTATTAGACAGCATAATACTTTTCAAAAATGATAGAAAGTAAAGGGGGCTGTTTTATTAGATAGGAAGAAATGGCGCTTTATAATTTTTAGAACTTCTATGAATATTTCCTCAAACCTTGAGATATATTAGATACCTTTAGATATAACCTTTAGAATATTTCCTCAAATCTTTTGTAGCAGTTTAGTTTTTTTTCCCTAAATATTTTTACTGTGTGCACTGTAAAAGCTGCGGTATAATACGTATCGGAATTCAGTGTTGAAAAATTCTGAAAATTATAATTTCATATCAAGTTAGTACCGAAGCAAGCTTTTTTTACCCTACAAACGGTATAGTTAAATCTTAAAAACAGTAATTTATAAGGGCGCTTTTTCATTACACGACACGATACCGACAAAATCGGACGACAAATGTGTGTACGACAATGTCGTTGCCGGATCGTTTAAGCAATTGGTTCTTCACTTGCCCGATATCGTTAGTCCGAGAAGTAGAAATTCTTGTTCATTCAATGTTTTGAGCTTGAGTGTGTAGAGACATAAAATTTAAATAATTTATTTGAACGTGTTTTGAAAAATTATAAGTTTTAGTTTTGAATTCGTTTTGGCAACGGAGTTAGATATATAATAAATGTTGTTGCGTTCTAAAATGTTTAAGAAATAAAATATGTTATTTTTTTGATAAAATTATTGGTAGTATCGTAAATTGGCGTTCATTTAATTTAGTTGGCACAAAGACCCAACAAGTGAGCAGTTGCTTGTGTTCTG